TCCCCCCTTTGTCGACTGTGAGGACCCCCAAACCCAGAGCTGGACAGCGTACCCTGATGGTGGGTTTAGAGAAGCCAATAGCCTCGCACTTCCCCCCTGCCAGCACAAGGACACACTGTAAGGCTGTGCATGTCCATGCAGAAATGACAGAAAACATTCACCGCCACAGTCACCGCCAGTGTGGATGTAACCCAAATGCCCGATACTGGGAGACCGCTTATGTGTGAGTCACATGCTGGACTAAATATAATACAAAGTGTGGGGAGGGAGGAGGAGGAAGAGTTCTAGAGCTCCTGCCATCACTAACTGAAGCAGGGCCAGGAGAGGGTGCATGGTGCCTCTTTGAAAGAAGCAAGGGAGTGGAACATACCTGTGGGGAAAATGTCACCTTTCCTGGAAGGGGGGAGAGAAATGTCACCTTTACCGGAAGCGGGTAGAGGAGGCAAGGGAGGAATTGTTTTTCCACTATGTCTTTTTATACCACTGTGATTCCTAAAGATATACATCTTTTTTTTATTTTTAAATTTTCCCGAGACAGAGAGATGGTCTGCGGAGCAGAATGGAGTTGAACTTGCCCTTTGGGAAAGGAAAACACTAAGGAAGTGCCAAGGCAGAGAACATTTCCAGAAACCCCTCCACCATAGCTGGAAGTGCAGAACTAGGCAGTATCAGGGAAGTGACCTTAGCAATCAGCTAACTGTATTTGTGTTTGTTTTGTGAGTGGTAGGGTGGGCCCTAGGCATCTCACGTGCTAAACAGTGCCCTGCCCCTGACACACACAGCCCACAGTTCTGTATTTAAATTTTAAAAATTTTGTATGTGTTCTTTGTATGTATATCTGTGCACCACACATGTGCTTGGTGCCCAGGGAGACCGGAAGATGACGTCAGATCCCGTGGGACTGCAGTTACAGATGGTTGTGAGTCTCCATGTGGTGTCTGTAACAGAACCCTGGTCCTCTGGAAGAACAGCCGTTGTAACCACTGAGCCATCTTTCCAGTCCAGCTCTGTGGTTATTAGAATCATTTATTTTTCACACAGTTCCAGAGAGTAAGACAGGAAAGGAGAATCCACGAATCCACTTGCCGGAGGACCCACGGTATACAGTGTGAAAACAACCTCTGAAGCCAGAGTCCGGCTTCCTCACGTGGGGAAAGCTGACCTCTTTTTGGATGGGGTAACAGCCAATCAGAGCTGCAGCTTCGCTAGACAGCTGACCACCCCACAGCTGCAAGGGAACCGACTCTGAACTGGATTAAGTCATTCGGTACTGGTATGGACAGAGGATGGCCCTTATTAGATGGCTGTACACCAAGGTCATGGAACACAGGATCAGCTCTCTCAGTCTAGTCAGACAGAGAGGATTCATGGAGTCAGAGGCGACAGTTCATCTACTCAGGTGGAAGGCAAGAGAAACAGACTGGCTACATGATGGAGGATTCCACAGTTTACACAATTTTAACCACTTTTTGAGGATACATTGTTTGTTTCAAAAGCCTACCCTTGTCAGGCATGGTGGTGCAAGTCTTTTTTTGTTTGTTTGGTTTTTTGAGACAGGGTTTCTCTGTGTAGTTTTGCGCCTTTCCTGGAACTCGCTCTGTAGACCAGGCTGGCCTCAAACTCACAGAGATCCTCCTGCCTCTGCCTCCCGAGTGCTGGGATTAAAGGCATGTGCCACCACCGCCCGGCAGTGGTGCACGTCTTTAATCCCAGCTCTCGGGAGACAGAGACAGGTGGACCTCTGTGAGTTCCAGGCCAGCCAGAGCTATGTAGACACTATCTCAACAACACCTCCCCTCCCCAGAAACAAAACAAAACAACAACAAAACCCATGCTCATTGACCTCCTTCTGCCAGCTGGCCTACCTCCTAAAATTGGTCTACAGCTTTTCAAAACATCACCACCAGGGGGTAAACAATGCTCCAAAGGGTGAGCCTGAAGAGGCTTTCAGATCCAAACTATACAGACTTTTAAAATTAACTCTGTAGTTAAGCAAGTGATACTAATTCACCCAAACATGTGGTGTGGAAAGATAAAAGATGAGGCGGCTGATAAACCACCACCTAGTCACCTGTCCTGGCTAATTTTACCATGACACATGCTAGAGTCATCTGGCTACAAGAACTCTACTTGGGAAGATCCATCAGATGGCCTGTAGGCAAGCCTGTAGGGCATTAATGATTGATGGGGGGCGGGGCAGCCCACTGTGGGCGGTGCCATCCCTGGGCAAGTGGTCCTGGGTGGTATAAGAAAGTCGGCTGAGCAAGCCATGAGAGCAAGCCAGCATACAGAGTTCCTTCATGGCCTCTGCTTCAGTTCCTGCCTCGAGGTTCCTGCCCTGACTTCCCTTCATGATGGACTACAGCTGTAGGGGATAGTGTTTATCAAAGCACCAGACTAAGACATCACCCGAAGTGTGAGACTGCATCTCCACTGTGATCCGCAGCTGGAGGCAAAGGGGATGGATGCACTCTAGAAATGACGGCTCAGACTGTCCAGTAGCTGGGTTTTGGGGTGTATATGGAGATGCAAAGCAAAAAGAAGCCAACTAAATCAACTCTCTTGATTTTATATTTATATATATCACATAAATAATAAAGTGGCCAAAGAGTGTTGGGGTGACTCTTACTGGGCCAAGGCTGTACTTGGGCCAGTCTGAGTTACAGCTACCAATCAAGTATGTCCAAATCCAGATATCAAAGAAAACGAGGACGATTCGTAAGAGTGGGAAAAGAGAGTGTGTGGAGTGTGTGTACCAAAGACTTATTATTTGGTTATTGGGAAACAGGTCAGGCATAGGAGGACACTGGCCTTTAGTCCCAGAACTCCATGGGCTGATCAGGAGGAGCACAAATTTGAGGCTAGCCTAGGCTACATAATGAGTTTTGACCAGCCTTGGCTATATATAAAAACTGTTTCAACAACACCCGCACCCCCCCCCTCCACAAATGGCATGTATTGGTGGGATCATAAAGTTTTAGTTATACTTTTGTGTGTGTGCAATGTGTACCATGGGGTGTGTGTGTGTGTGTGTGTGTGTGTGTGTGTGTGTGTGTGTGCGTGTGCGCACTGTAGGCTAGAGGACAACCATGGGGGTTGGCTCTTTGCTTCCATTCACCACTTAGCTCCAGGGATCTACCTCAGGTCATCAGGCTTGATGACAGCAAGGACATTTACTGCCGAGCTATAGTCACAGTCCCATAATGTCCCTAATGAAGCACACTTGGGGGTTGGGAGGACCAAAGGGAATCAGTCTGCTAACTTCATGGTGCCCCACACATAACATGTTTAACATGCTTGTTTTTTAAAGAATTTCCCCCCACCAGGTACATTAATAATTATAAAAATGTTGAAAGGCAGCAGGGAAAACATACTGAAAAACTCCTGAATTGTCTGAGACATGATCCCGCATTCCAGTAAAGATCAGGGTATTTAAATGAACCTCGATGTCCCTCTGACTTGGGGTCCAAGGCTGTCTGCACATGAATGACTGAAGTGGTCAAGGGATGGAGAGACATTTCCTCAGCACAGAAACATGTGTGCGATGTTCCAGAACTTGCTGTTGAGACCTAAGTGGGCTGGGCTCAGCTCAGAGGGTGTGGGACCACGACAGGGCTAAGGTGAATGCTTAGCTGGAGAGTAATGTTTGGATAGACTTTCCATGAGCTACCTTTGCCTCCCTTGCAGATGAGTTCTGGGAATGGATGTCCTGACTGGGAAGGTGCCCCCCGCCTTGCATGCATGTCTTCCAGTACTGATAAATCAGGTAACGCAGCAGCAAAACTAACAAAGCCCGTCTAGGTTGTTAAGCTGGGAGAGTACGGAACGCTTGATGAAAAGGGAGTAGCCCTGTAATTACTGCTGTGTTTCAGGTGTGCTGGGGTAGACAGTCTCTGTTTAGCATCTCTGTGTGGAGGGCTGACTCCAGCTACGGCCAAAGCTGCTTCCACAATAGCCACTGGGATTTTGGAACAGAAACTCTACATTTTCAAGACCAAGATGGAAAATCTTGGACATATGTAGAGAGAAGAGATGGTTCACATAAAAAAGGACACATGAGGGTCACCAACTATTCCACTAAGGACTCAGAATTAGGAACAATAACTGTATCATCATCATCATCATCACTATTATTATTTGGGGGGAGGGGTCAGGCATGGTGGTGCATGCCTTTAATCCCAGCACTTGGAAGGCAGAGGCAGGTGGAAATTCTGTGAGTTCAAGGCCAGCCTGGTCTATATAGTGAGTCCAGAATGGTCAGAGCTGCCTGTCTTAAAATAATAATAATAGTAATAATAATAATAATAATAATAACTTTAAAAATAAAAGTTAATGTGTTTGGGTGATTTGACCAGATGTCTGTCTGTCCACCACATGCATCCCTGGTGCCTGTGGAGGCCAAATGAAGATGTCAGGTCCCCTGGAACTGGAGTTACAGATGGTTGTGACCCACCATGTGGGTGCTAGGAACTGATCCCTGATCCTCTAGTAGCGCAGCAAATATTCTTAACCACTGAGCCATCTCTCCATATTTGAAAGGATAAAGCCAAATGGTACTGAGATTATTCCTGCTTTTTCCCGGGCGGCAGGGAGTTATTACAGAGTCTTCTGTATCGCAGCCTAGCCTCTCCATTCTCTTGCTTCCGCCCTGCTTCAAGTGTTGGGATTATAGTGTGCACACCACACCTGGTTTGTGTGGTGGTCTCAGCTCAAACCCAAGGCTGCGTGCGTGCGTGCGTGCGTGCTACCAACTGAGCAGCATCCCCAGCCGCTACCGCCTTTGGAACCTGACAACAGCAAACACGAGTCCTCAAATTTGAGCGGCGCTGCTCTGTAAGACATCTGGCCACAGGCTACGATTGGTCCAGATGGACGGGATTTGTTGTTAGTGACTGAGAAGGATGCTAGTGACATGAAAGAGTCTTTCGACAAAGATTTTGAAACCAAGCCATAAAACAACAACTTCTCCTTTGCCAAAAGCTGTCTACGCCATTTTTCAGGAGGCAGCCCCGGAGCCGTGACCTCGGGAAGCGAGTGGGACCAGGAGGCTCTGTCATGAGCAGAACTCGAGAAACAAGAGCAGGGTCCATGGGCCTCCGGTGGCAATGAGACCTGCCAGCAGCTGCATGATGGACCAGGGCTATGTACACACTTCACCGAGTCCAGCAACCTGGGAACAGGTAATTCCACCTAGGCTCTTGATTATTGGTCGTCAAGTCCCCTGTTTCTATGGGGCCACTTCAATTTCTTCGTTACGGGTTAGTCAACTGACAGGGAGATTGGTTTAAGTCAGTCAACACACGTTGAAGATCCTTCTTCCTGCAAAATCCAGCGCTACACATCATTGTTCCTTTGTCCCTCAGGCACAGAACTCTGGCTTGGGAACAACTTTGTGGATTTTTGCCTCCTTTCATATTTCAACATGATACTAACATTGGCCATGTTTCTGACATTTAGTATCCTTTTGGGAGAGGTTGAGACAGGGTTTCTCTCTGTAGACTTGGCCTGTAGACCAGGCTGGCCATGAGTTCAGAGATCCACCTGCCTCTCTGCCTCTGCTGGGATTGAAGGCGTTCAACATCACCACTCAGTTAACATTCAGTATCTTGTATAAACAGGCCTTGTGCTCACAGCCAAATGTATTAGGACAAAGTCAGACTTGAACCACTCATTCCTGTTTACCGATCTCTGGGGAGCTCGAGCCACGTGGAGACACTACACAGGGAAGCACAGCGGTCCTCACCACGGAGCAACCAGAAAACGCAGCTGTTGATCATCAGCCACTCGAGTGAGCCACCCTGGATGCCCAACCAGCATGACGTGGAATAGAGCTGCCCAGTGCACCTGCAGAATCATCAAATGGCAGAAGGCTACAGCGTTAAGCCACCAAATATCAGGGTCTTACATTTCCTAGCAACAAATGGGCAAATCCCTGGACGTTTCCAGTTCTTGGTGCTTCTGGGATCCTTCCGGGTGTGATGTCTCTCCCCGGCCTCTGCCAGCACTTGAGTGTGAGTGCCCTGCAAGGCCAGTCACTCCTCACCCACCGCTGTGTCATGCTGGTTGGGCATCCAGGGTGGCTCACTCGAGTGGCTGATGACCGACAGCTGCGCTTTCTGGTTGCTCAGCGGTGAGGACCACGTGCTTCCCTGTGTAGTGTCTCCGCGTGGCTCGAGCTCCCCAGAGATCGGTGAACAGGAATGAACCATCTAGTTCTTTCCTCAAGCCTGACTTTGTCCCATTGGCTGTGAGCACAAGGCCTGTTTACATAAGACACTGAACTTCCAGAACGCTCACTTCTCTTGTGTTTCTCACTTCTGTTCTTCTTGACCCTGTGGGTTTATGCCTTCTAAAATTTTGTTTTTTATTTTTTTTAATTTACTTTATGTGTAAGGGTGTTTTGTCTGCATGTATGTATGGGTACCACATCTGTCCCTGGTACCTGTGGAGACCAGAAGAGGGCATTGGGTCTCCTAGGACCAGAGTTACAGACACTTGTGAGCTGCCACATGGGTGTTACGAATCCAACCCGAATTCTCTGGAAGAGCAGCCCCCTCTTCACCACTGAGTCACCTCTCTGGCTCTTGGTTTATGCCTTAAAAAATTCTTTTGTTGTAATTTGAGGGGGGCGCGGTTGAAAGGCAATTTTATCTGTTTAATCTGCTTGTGTAATTTGAAGATTCTCCTTCCCTCTCTTTCTCCATGTTCTCGCCCCCGACAGGGTCTCACTGTGTAGCTCTCGCTGGCCTGGAACTCATATAGACCAGACGGCCTTAAACTCACAGCAGTCCTCCTGCCTCTGCCTCCCAAGTGCTAGGAACAAAGGCTTGCTCCACCAAACATAGTCTATCTTCTGCATTCTCAACCTATTCACAGAAAATTCTCCTCCTAGACTCTGGAAAGCCCAGAGTTGGGGGTCTAGGGTCAGTCTCCGACTTGCTCTTTGAGGGGCTTACAGTTCATTTCTCCCATGAGGCCCCCGTCCCGGAGTCTGCCAGTGTTCCTTGAGTGACGAGGACATCTCTATATCAGTGTCTGGGCTTTTCAGTCCAGTGGCCTCAGCATTGAAACAACCACCTCAGCCATCATTTTGGTCTTCTCCTCCACCTTCAGGGGGGCATGCCACCGCCCCTCAGCCACGGGCCAAACCCTGACTGTGTCCCAGAGCGACAACCCTGAAGTCACCATTGCAGACTGGCCATTCATCACCACGTGAGGAAGGGCTCTCCTCTCTTGTGGGGCTGATCCTGAGACCTGTGTGGTACCTCTTGCCCCTGTCACATGAAACCCCTCTATGGGTTTTGTGTCTTGTCCTCCCTCTCCTTTCAGCCTGCTTTCTGAGGACTGTGCAGTGCCCTTCCACTCAGCCCAGCAGACAGAGCTGGGTTTTGTTGTGGACCTCTCAGTTCTTGCCATCTGAGTCACATCCTTAGCCCTATATAGCCCAGGCTAATCCATCACATCACCTGGTGACAGAGGCAGGTTTCAGGATGGACGCTTGACCAAAGATAGATCAATTTCTCTCGTGGTGACTCATGAGTTTGGCTCCAGTGCATGGATGGGAGGCTGGTACAAGATTACAGAGCTTTCTAGGGATGCATTCTTCATCAAAAGTGAGTTTTCAGACTTGTGTTGAAGCCTTTAGGCGAGTGGGGCTGTTTTCAGTTTGGAAGGCTGGGAGGCCAGAACGTCTGCCACTACGAAAGGGGAGCCTCTTTTGCAGGCTGCCATACCAACCTGCCAGGCAACGGTGGTACAGCTGTTATGGGGGTAACCACCTGTGTACTGAAAGGCCTGCGGGGGGGGGGGGGGGGGGGCCTCCCCCTCCCCCCGTGTTGCAGAATATGTGTACATTGTGTGAAGATGTATTGCTGTGGTTGGTGTAATAAAAAGCTGTATGACCAATAGCTAGGCAGGAGAGATAGGTGGGACTTCCGGGCAGAGAGAGGAAGAGGAGAGGCCATCAGACATGGAATGTGTTGTATATACAAAATGAGAGAGAGGTAAAAGCCACATGGTAGGACATAGATGAATAAAAGTATGGGTTAATTTAAGTTATAAGAGCTTGTGGGACAAGCCTAAGCTAAGGCCAAGCTTTCGTAATTAAAATAACTCCCCACATCATCATCTGTGGACTGGTGGTCCAAAGAGAGTCGGACAAGAAAGCTTGCTGTACCACAGGAGGGCGTTTATACTTGGTGCTGTGGACCTGGTTCGAGGCCCATCGCTGGGGAGGTCCTAGGTCCCGGGGGTGAACACACTGCTTCAGTTTTGCTAAATGGACATGTTGTCAGACATGTTGTCTCCTAAATGTTCATGTTTATACTCACAGACCGGTGCTGCTGCTCTTGGCCCTGTCAGAGAAGGTTCTGCTTTCCGTGAATGGTGGCTGATACAGAGAGACTCCCATGGCTGGTCAAAGTGCTGAGAGCCAGTGACTCCTGAGTGCTTGATTCTAACAGGACACGATGCCATCCCTGACAAGGCTCGGAGAACATCACAGGAGAGGGAGGAGGGAAGAGCCGGGGGATGGCGAGGAAGGCTGTGACGTGCTTGTTCTGGGCGTGACCCAGCCATTGCACATTGAACTCACAACAGTTGCACACGGACTGCACGAGCCCTGCCCTGCCAGCATTCGGTCATGGGTGGGGAAGAGGCTTCCAGGGGGCTGTTGGCAGCTAATGGCTGCTGAGGGAAAGGGAGCCGTTGTCTTGGCTGGAGAAGGCACTAGTGAGGTATTTGTGCTCATGCGGGCAGCCCTGGTTAAACTCAGTGGGTCACAGAACAAAATTAAACTAGAAGAGATAAGGACGAGAGGGGGAAAGGGAGTGATGGGGGATGGGACTGAGAGGGGGGTGTGCCTGACCAGAATGTATTGTATATACGTATGAAGTTGTCAAAAAAATAAATTTTAAGGAGAAAAGAAAGGCAATCCTTATGGTCAACCAAGCCAGCCACAGGGCAACCTAATGACCCTGGAGTTGTCTACTTGGAACCAGACCCACAGCTCAGGCTCCCCGCCTTACCCAGGATGTTCTTGTGGCCTCACTAAACCCGCTGTCCAGACAATCACTCCCTAAAGTGGCCCAAGAAAAACACAAAGCAGCAATTCTCTGAAAACAAAACTCCCTCACAAAAACAAAAGCAAAAACAAAAACAAAACACACAAAAAAAAAAGAAAAGAAAAAACTTCAAACGTGGTCTACTGCGCCCCCTGGTGGATAACATTTTTCAGCTCGTAGGCCTTTATTTCACTCCGCCGGGGGGTCCAGTATTCTGCATACAGTATACTCACTCATCAGTGCATCTAGGTCAATTTAAAACATCTCTCCTAATTCAAAAAGCATGTAATTGCTGCCACTTAGAACCCCAATCACAGAAAATTCCCACAGCCCTTTGTAGCCCAAAAGTACAATCCCAAAGAAAGCCTGTCTCCAAATGGTGCAGTTAATTTAGAATGGGCTAGAACATCAGGAATCAATTGTCATAACTATCAAAAAAGAGAAAAACATGACGGAAGAGCGATGGCACTAAAAAATGTAAGGCAGTCGGATTTTACAAGCCAGCAGGTTCACCGAGTCCGGGTCTCACACCTTCCATTCACCTCTTTTCTCCCCAGATCTCACGGGAATGCGCAAAGACAGACAATTCAACAGCCACGAGGATGATCACTTCCAGCAAATTCAAAACTGGAGAAAATACATCCGGAGAAAACAGGAGGAAGGGCTGTTTTCCTGTTGAGAGCCAAGCTAGCCTAGGCTGGTCTCAAAGGAGGTTCAGGAGGCGGGAGGGCAGGGCTCGGTCGAGCAACCGGCCTCCCGTGGGCCTCAGGGTTTCCGAGCTGTGCTGGATCCTAGGAGGCAGATCTATGATCTCATTGTCCCTCTTTCGCTAAGTCACAGAAGGAAACTTGCTGAGAAGCGTGGAGAGGCAGGTGCAGCCCTCAGCAAATCCCAGCTGCCACTCCAACCCAGTCGCTGCCACGCACCACTCTGGCGTCTGCTCCCACTAGACCCACTAGAGGAGCTGAGCCGGGCGAGAGCCGTTCTGCCTCATCATGTCCGGCACAGAGCAGTGGATAAAGGAGGCCCAGGTACACACCGTCTCTACAGGTCGCTCAAGCCCAAGGTGCCCTCACCTTACTCTTGGAGATGCCCCCAGTGACCCATCCAATCCTGGTGCCTGATCTGAAAGGGTCCGGAGGCTTCTGCGCTCTCATACAGTGTCTGTACCCTACTCTATATTCAGGTGGTTCTGAGGGGAAATGACGGCCCATTGCAGGAAGCTAAAGATGCTCTGTGCACATGTTGGAGGAATCCACGTAGTCTCCATCGCATCAGCCTACACCTCCGCTCCCAAGCTCCTTAGAACCATCAATGTCCTGGGGAAAGTGGGTAAGGGCCATTGGAAGATATGCAAAGTGACCTCTCCCCCCCCCACCCCCCCACCTCCCATTAAAGGCGGAAACCTGAACTGGAACAAATAGATTGTAGTACCGAGCGCGTATCCACACAATGCAGCAAAGTGAATGGGATTCAGTGTCTGTAACACACAGCGGAACCCTGAGAATATGCCGGGGAAACAGACCTAAGAGGACAGTGGTTTGTTCCTATTACGAAGTACCTAGAACAGGAAACTCCTAGGAAGGGGAGTGGCCAGATGGTAGCGAAGAAGCGGCTTTTATTGGACAAGCACAGCTTTTCTTGGAGATGGTGAATACAGTGATGGCGGTCACACACAAAAAATGTCAATTAACTGCCACCAAACTGTAAATTTACAAATGGTTAAAATGGAAATTTGTACATGTATTATATATATCTAAAAAACTATTTGTTGGAGAAAAAGAAGCAACAAGAGAATAAAGAATTTTTGGAAATTTAGAACATAATGGCAAAAACGGAAAACTAAATAGGAGTAGGGAATCATGGGATGGGCTGCTTTAAAAATCAGCGTGACTCGGAAAGGCAGCCAAGGAGCTTGCTTAGAAAAAAAAAAACTGAGGACGCTATTTGGATTTATAATTATTTCCATCTTTAGTCAGTTCTATTTCCAAATAAGTCTGTGGTCTCAATCTAAAAAAAAAAAAGAAGAGGAAAAATAAAAAAATCAGGCACAAACTCAAAAGTGCAGTGTTTATTCCACAATGTAAAAAAAAAAAAAAAAAAAGTCCTTGGGGTTGGGGATTTAGCTCAGTGGTAGAATGCCTAGGCAAGCGCAAGGCCCTGGGTTTGGCCTTCAGCTCGGGAGGGGGTGAGGAGTCCTTGGGCTGATGAGATGGCTCCGTGGGTAAAGGCACTTGTCACACAAGCTGTCTGTCGCTCTGAGTTTGATCCCAAGAATGCTCATAAAGGCAGGAGAGAACTGATTCCACAACATTGTGTTGTAGAATATTATTTTAAGATGCGTTACATCTGTTTATGCTGTGGAACATTTGCTTTAATGATGTGAAGATGTGTTGCATTCTTTTATGTTGTATTTGTCTAACTCTGTGAAGCTGTGTTACTTTGCCTGTCTAAAACATCTGATGGTCTAATACAGAGTTGACTGGTCAATAGTGAGACAGGAGAGAGGATGGGTGGGGCTGGCAGGTAGAGAGAATAAATAGCAGGAGAAATCTGGGAGGAAAGAAGAGAGATCAAGGAGGGAGACAAGAAGGGGCCAGCCACTCAGCCACACAGTCACACAGCCACCCAGTCACCCAGCCACACAGCCACACAGCCATACAACCAGACACAGAATAAGAAGGAAAGAAAAAAACATACAGAAACAGAGAAAGGTAAAAACCCAGAGGCAAAATGTAAACAGTTAAGAAAAGCTGTCCAGAAATAAGCCAAGCTAAGGCTGGGCATTTATAAGGAAAAATAAGCTTCTGTGTGTGATTTATTTGGGATCTGGGTGCTGGGCCCCCCAAAAGAGCAAAAGCAACCAACAACACGTTGTCCTCTGACCTCCACATGTGTGGGCACACACACATTAATATAGCAACAAATTAACAACAACAATAATAAAACATCTTCTGTACCACTTCTCAGTGTGAAGGCAAGGTGGGGACCTTAATAAGGGTGAGAAGTAGGGGACAGAGAGGAAGAACTTGACTTCTTTTTTTTTTTTTTTTTAATTGGAGGAGGGGCTGGGGCCAGGAGTGCAGCTGGTCATGGAAGCCAGAAGAAGTCAGATCCCTTGGGGCTGGGTGACAGGTGGTTGTGAACCTCCTTATATAGGTGCCAGGAACAGCTCCTGTTCTATGCTAAAGAGTAAATACTGAGCCATCTCTCTAGTGTCTCCCTGAACATCTCCCCGTTTATTTTAGATGTGATCTCACACTGTAGCCCAGGCTGGCCTGCAACTCACCACAATCCCTCTGCCTGAGCCTCCCAAATTCTAGAATGACAGGCACGAGTGACCATATCTAGCAAGAGCATGACTTATTTTTTTTAATGAAGCAGAATTGGAGTTTATTAGAGATATTTAATATAGATGTTGCTAAAATTCCTTCCAAGAAGGAGACATAAACAATATCTACCCCCTCTTCCCAAAGTCCCAATGACGGTCTGAGGCACGATTCCACTGAAGTTCACTCTGTGGGACCAGTGAGTTTTTTGTGTTTCCCTGCAGATCATAGGTGAGAGGTTACTTACAGGGATGCGGCTGCTCACTCCCCCCCCAACATTCTGCTCCTGAAAAGCTTTTACCTAGCATGGACGAGGACTTCCCCGTAGCTGCACAGATGGAGTCCCTCTTGTATACAACCCGCCCCCCATACTCTAGCCCCTTCCTGATGCCGCATGCAAGTAAGACCTACAACAGGTGATAGGGAGCGGCTGGCTGCTCAGCTGAGGGCCTCGTGACCCTCCCCACCCCCTGTGGGGGGGTGTGAGCAGCCAAAAAGGCCAGCTGGGATGACCCTTTTGCAAGGGGGCACAGCTGGACTACTCAAGACAGTCGTTGCTTGGCTCTGAGGACGGTCACTCAGAATAACAGGCTTAAGCACCAAGGTTAAGGGAAAAGGGGCGCTGGAGAGATGGCTGAGCAGTTACGACCACTGGCTGCTCTTCCAGAGGACCCGGGTTCAATTCCCAGCATATGCAAGTCAGTTCACAATTGTCTCACTGTGGTTCTGAAGGATCTCATGCCCTCTTCTGGCCTCTGTGGGTACCGCGCATGTGGTACATAGATAAACACACAAGTAAAACATTAAAACATGAATACAAAAAAATAGTGAAGCAAATTACATTTTTTTAGACTAAAAAGGAGGAGAAAGAAAAAAAGAAAGGCACGTTTGAGAATATGGGTGTGAGTTTCTAATAGTCTCCAAGAGCTTTACTCTTTTTTTTTTTTAAGATTTACTTTTATTTTTAAGTGTGTGTGTGGTGTGTGAGCTCAAGCGCCTGTGGAGTCCAGAAGAGAGTGTCAGATCTTCTGACGCTAGAGTTAAAGGTGGTTGTGAGCTGCCAGACATGGGTGCTGGGAACCAATCTCAGGTTCTCTGCAACAGTAGCGTGTGCTCTTAACTCTGGGAAACTAATATGCGTCACGGTGACAGAAAGTTATCACAGGGGAGAGAAAGAGGCACGAAGCACGTGCTATGGTTGGAAGTGGGGGAACCGGGGATTCTGTGTGGTGGGAGTGTCTAGATGTCAGAGCTTGTGGACAGAAGCAAAGGGAGACTTCAAACCAGGAGAAGCCAGGGGAGCTGCATCCAACAGGGGTTAGGACAAGGACGGGAAGGGGGAGGGGCCAGAGCTGCCACCTCAGGTCAGGGACCGGACAAGGCTAGGGGGTTAGCACAGTCATGCCTTAGCATGCTCAGATGCTGCTCGGAAAATGATGGGAAGATAAGGGAAGTCCTGTGAAGACGAACTTCAAAATGAGGACATATTTACTCCGAAGACAACATCTCTGGAGGAGAGAGGACCTCCAATAACTCTCAAGTTAATGTCCTTTCTCTCGCTGCCAAGGGGAGGAAGGAAAAAAGAGATTGGTCACACACATAAAGAGTCTCCACAGCAGGGACAAGAACCGGAATCAGAAGGAAGGACTCAGCAGACAGGAAAACGAGGAACAACGCTGGGGAAGGAGACCGTGAATCACGTGGTTGAGTCTTAGCTGTCACCGCTGCGTGTATGGAAACTTAATGCAATAAATAAGAGAGATTGTTTAACTTCTGGAGCTCAGGAGCCAGCGTGATGGCTCAGAAGGTAAAGACACTTGCTGCCAAGTCTGAGGACCTTAGTTCGATCCCCAGGACCTACACTTGGTGCAAGGAGAGAGAACTGACTTCCACAAGTTGTCCTCTCTCTTCCACTCCAAGCAACCACACATATACACATATGCGAATGTAAAAATAATTTGAAAAAATTCTGGAACTACCCGGGCATGGTGACTTATGCCTATAATCCTCAACGCTCAGGTGGCCGAGGCAGGAGAATTGCACATTTGAGACTAGCCTGGCCTATGTAATGAATTCTAGTCCAGCCAGGGCTGCAGAGTAAGGCCTAGCCTCAAAATTTAAAAGCTAAAATAAATATTAAAAGAATAAAACAAGATGTTCTGTCTAAAATGCTAGAACCGAGACTCAACTAACCTGGATATATTTATAGCTTATAAATTATACCTTAATAATTTTTTTTTTAAAGAGAAAGAACCTGTAGTGTGGGCTCTGCCTCCCCATCCCTTCTCTCCATCACTCTCAATTCTGCATGAGCTGCCTACTTCCGGCTCCCTCTCAGCGTGACGGCCTCATGTTATACTGCCTGCTGAGGTTTATGGTCTAGCCTGTGAAGCCACATAACATCATTTCTGCTATTACCACAAGCCCTACCTAGATTCAGAAGTAGGGGGCACAGACACTCATGGAGAAGTGCCCCAAACACATTGTGGGGCATGAGGAACGCAGTTGGGGCCGTCTATAGAAAAATCCAGCCTTCCAAAGCCCAACTTCTGGCCACAACAATTTATATCCCTCCCACGTGAAAATTCAAGTCTCGTCCCACCACGGCATCAACTTGGAGTCTAGGATTTCAGCAACCAAATCAGGCCCAGATGAAGATGAGGTTTCACGCGTGTGATTCACCAACTTTCCAAAACTCGGGAGTGCCTCTTCTCAATGAAAAATGTGCTCTAGGGCTGGCAAGATGCCCGGTGGGTAGAAAAACAGCAGCAGCTGACTGCCACCACCGGCAGGAGAGAACCAACTCCTGCAAGTTGTCCTCTGACTTCCACGAGCACGCCATGTCACCTCCTCTCCAGACACATACACGACTGCAGGAAAATAATTTTAAGTGAGATCTGCCCAGCCTGTGGGGTGGTCAAGAGCTCACTCTGAGATTTGGGTAACATCTTTACAGCCAGCCAGCATACCTGGAATAACATCTGCATTCCTGGAACCACGTGGGTATGGAAAAATCAGTACAACCGAGAAAGACACCGAATCAGTCACCATAAACTTTCCCCTGGTCCTCTGGCTGCCGCTGCACGAGCTGGTTCCAGGTCTTAGATGTCATCCCCAAAGGTGGAACCTCCTTCTTCAGGCTTCTTAACATCAGAACATTCAACTTTCAAACCCCATAGCTGTATTCCAGGCTGACTTCAGAGGGGTTTTCCTGTTCCTTTGTTTTCTGAGACAGGGTTTCTCTGTAGCCCTGGCTGTCTTGGAACTCACTCTGTAGACCAGGCTAGCCTCAAACTCAGAGATCCACCTGCCTCTGCCTCAGGAGTGCTGGGATTGAAGGTGTGCTTGACCATGCCTGGCAACTTTAGAGATTTCAATATCAGCTACCCCCTCCAACTACGTGAAGGGCTTATACGCTGGCCCTTTCCACCAGCCAACTTGCCATTTTAGAAAGTATACAGCAATGCTTGTTTTTGCCATTTCTTAAACTGTTTAGGATATAGGAGATTGGAGGGTTGAGAACAAACTCTCTTAAACTGGACACAATTGAGAAAAGGCTAAAAATTATTGCCGGGTGTGATGGTGCACACGCCTTTCATCTCAGAGCCTGGGAGGCTGAGGCAGGCAGATCACTGCTGAATTTGAAGCCAGCTTGTTTCCATAGTGAGTTCCAGACCCGCCAAGGC